GTATTTTTAGTTCTACCGCGAACAAATATTTCCGAGCAGGTACGTGTAACTCGATTGTTTACGCCAAAATGTTATGTTTTTCGAAAAGTTAGATATTCAAGGTGCAGAACAGAAACAAAATTATGCAATACATGGAACACATTAAATTAAATGGATCACTACTACCGAGTTCAGTTCACAATGACTTTCTGTAATTAATAGCTCTAACGACTTTCTGTAATTAATAGCTCTAACTTACCTGTTCTGAGCAAAAACACAAATAAGCCACGTTTTCATGAATTTGTATGGTGGGGAATCGCTATGAAAATGGTTGACAAGGTGTCAGTCGTTATAAGGATATAACACGTGTTCCAGTTATGTTTCAAGATACTTCCTCCCTTATTTAGCATTGTTGTTAAGTTTATTATTTTCGTCTGAAAGTGTAAATAGAAAATTCTACTATAACTAGGTCTATTATATTATTGATAATTTTAGTCCGTACACCGACTGAGTTCTGCCTCACTTTGAGAGGGAAATCATAAACTAAACAACAATGATAAATAAGGGAGGAAGTATCTTGAAACATAACTGGAACACGTGTTATATCCTTATAACGACTGACACCTTGTCAACCATTTTCATAGCAATTCCCCAACTTACAAATTCATGAAAAAGTGACTTTTTTGTGTTTTTGCTCAGAACATGTACGTTAGAGCTATTAATTACAGAAAGTCATTGTGAACTGAACTTGGTAGTAGTGATCCATTTATTTTAATGTGTTCCATGCATTGCATAATTTTGTTTCTGATCTGCACCTTGAATATCTAACTTTTCGAAAAACATAACATTTTGGCGTCAACAATCGAGTTACACGTACCTGCTCGGAAACATTTGTTCGCTGTAGAACTAAAAATATTCTACTTTGTCGCATTTGCACGGAGACACGTTTTTAAATGTAAATAACCGTGTCAAAACTCATGATTGACCTCGAATAAGTTATTGCATTAATGTGTGTGATTCAATGGTCGGGCCTCATCCAAATTTCGAACATAAATAATGGAATCTACACGGAAGCCATAGGTGACACCTACGCGATTACAGTCATTACGCTTTAGTCGTTAAAAGGCTATCAAACTTTATTAGTTGTCTTTAAAAGGTAAATATACACTTGATCATGTCTATGTTAACTTCTATAGCTTTTATTTATACAAAACCACTAACTACGCTCCTCCTAAAACGTCAAATTAATATCGCCTTGCGCTCAACATCGAACCTTTTGCTCCATCTCTCACCCTTTCGCTCCACTACTTTCGAAAAATACCGGTTTGCAAATTTAAGAAATCCTTCAGTAGTAATTTATTTTGCACGAAGGACAAGTTCTTATTACGGGTTGATAATTTACTAATACACTTTTTCAAGAAATCCGAAAGGTATGGCATTTCTATGGTTGGAAAGTTCAATATTCTACAAATCATCGTTCGCTTCGTCAGGGAGAAAAGTTCTCCCGGGCTTAATATAATTTTCTTTTTGTAACAGCTTAGATCATTGGAAGCCTAACTCAATCCTACACGGAACTACATTTTCCGTTTTTCGAAAAAATACAACTTAAATAAATAATAAGACAAAAACATAAACAATACTTACAATTAGGCGTTTAAATCGGCCTTCCGCTCTATCTCGGAAATGCCGTTCGCTCGTTTTACCGTACACCACAATTTTGAAGTGGAGCGACAGTTTGCCGGGCGTGTTTTCTAAACCTATAATACCATTTTTTCTTTCTAAAAAAATAGCCAATTTTAAAGGAACTTTTAAGTCCCTTTTTTCAAACTGAAAAATTGTAATAGAAAAAAATTATTGAAATGTATGTTATTATTTATTGTGATCAATAAAAAGAAAAGCATAATCCAGAAGTAAAAACAAGATTTTGATGACATATGAAGAAGTTATCTGCCCTTGAAATGACTTAAAGTCAATAAATAATTCTTATTCAAGGGCAGATAACTCAGAAATGAAATAGATGGTACACAATTTTTTTCTGCTTAAAATATTTCTGTTATCATATTCTAACAACATGCCATTTTTTTTAGTTTAAAGACATTCTATTGAACAGTTTTAATAAAAAGGTCATTATAACCACCAGGATACATTATGAATCAACCAGGATACACTATGAATAAGAAAGGAATTATTTGAAACTAAATTTATACATAAATAGCCTCTTTGGGATGTCAAACATCTGTATAAAGTATAAGGATCTTGCATAGGCTTCCGGTACAGATCATAGGAATATCTAGTTTAAGGATAACTGTTTACAGAGGAAACTAGTCTCTGCCGAGTTTCTGCTAAACAGTTACTGGAGAGCAAGATATGCTGTCTGTAATGACAGCCCCTGTTTGATTCTTTTTCTTGCATATTACATATTAATCATAAGAAAGAAATTAAGAAACAAAATTTATACTTTCATTTAGCGTTTTTTTCTTATAGAAGCATACATGTATGACTTTACAACTTCATTCATAACAGCAAGATGACGTCATTCTAAGAATGCAATTCATTCATCAAAGGTATGCAGGAATGATGTCATTTAAAGCACGCGACTTAATGCATGTGACTTGTCCCTCACACCAGGCAGAGTGGGGTGGAGGGTAGGTGTGTAAGATGGGGTTGTCTAGCATTGGTGTAAACAGTAGATAGTCCTTAGCTGTCTGACATGCAAGAAAATATTATCCTTTTCCTGAATTTCACGAGTATGATATTTTGGATGCCTATAGTGTAGTATTCATTCTTTCGATGAAGTTATTCTTTATTCAGAATTTCTTTATAATAATGAATAACAAAAATTTGATTTTTATAATTTTATTGGCGGTAAAATTATGCATCTTCATGAATAGATAAAAAACAACAAGGATTTTGATTGAAGAATCTCTTTGTTAATATTGAATATGTTTATTGTTCAAATATAAATAATAAGCTAGGGTATGAATTTCATAAAACTTATAAAGGAATTATTTAATGGGAAAATCTGAATAATAGATGATATTTTGTTAACTGGTGTAGGCGTATAGAAAATGTTTGAAACTGAAGATTTATTGGTTTCTGTAAAGAATCATTCCCTTTCATCCTGAATATCTTTCAATACTAATATTGGTGTACAACACATTTAAGTGAATGAATTCATGTGTTCCAGTGATGTAATTTGTAGGTCTTAAAGTTATAGAATGGAGTACATTAAACTTGACTTATAGAATACATTAAACTATATTCAGGAGTTTCACCTCAGTCAGAATTGATGTTTATACAGGCTAGAGAGGGGAGGAGTTTAGGGTGGGGGAGGAGTTTAGAATGGGTGGGGGTGTTTCAATGTTGGGGTTTCCAATTTTATTTTAATGAAAGTGTTGTCTGTCATGTTTTAATAATTTAGAAAAAAAGCTTCTGTCTCTTAATGTATAGTTTCTGGTATATCAAAGTGAGCTTGACCAGCTGATGGACTGACTGTACATGTATTAATGTAGGCCCAATAAGTGCTGAAGGTTTTCAATCCCAGATTTTTATTCATTTGAGGAACCTTGTACTAGTATAAATATTATCCATGTTAGCGTATTTATTCAAACTTGGATGCAGGCTCAAGTCTGAAATTGTGCACCTCACGCCTGAGGTGTTCTGCACCCATTATACCCTAGATGAGTCTCACATCAATGATTGGCTTATAATTTTTTTAATAAAAGCAACATTGACCCAAACACATTGTTAGAGCATGGAGACCTGTAATAAAACTTCCTCATGTTTGAATAGACGAAAAAATAATAAATTTGATTGTAATCTTCATATCTTGACATGAACAGCTTAGTAACAAAAAATACTGTCTGAATTAACCTGATGTAGTTTCTATCTTGATGATAGTAAAATATATCAGTAGAACAGAAGGATGTTATATGATCGAATGAACGAAAACAGGTCAGGGCTACACTGCTGGAAAATCAAAGTCTACTGTTGACCTAGTTAAGAACAAATTTTATGATTTTTCTTTAGTTATAATAAAGATATGATGTTTATTGGATTTAAAATAGGTAATACATATAATTGGGACCATTTCAGTATAAGCTTTTTATTTTGTATACTTTGATATGTCATACAGTATATAGGGGTGTATACAAAAACCTCCAATTAAGTCCCACATTATTTGACTTCATGATCTTAGTTATTTGGTAGTAATTTCATGATAGTTTAAAACTATAATTAGTACATTGGTATGAAAATATTTGATGTGATTTTTTATGACTTGTTAGTAGATCAATTGGTTGTATATTGATATTTCACTGTGGTCTGTCATTCCCAGTTGTATACATTGAGTGTTGAATTTAAAACAGTCCATTTAAAGTTCATTAGATTACAGTAACCCCAGCAGTTAAGAGCCTGGTCAGATTCCATTCGTGGCAAATGCTAAACATAAGCATCCAGCAGACATAGGGGTAATAACTACAATTCATAAAGAAAAAGTGCCTGTGATACGTTGGCCATTCACCCACCTATACAGTCAAACCCTTGTTAAAAATACCTGAATAAAAATAACCCTGCAAATAAAGGCCACTTTTAGATAATCCTAGATTTATATAATGCAATAAGGTAACCTCTAAATAAAGACCACTTTTCTATAAAGACCACAATTTATTTCACCCTTGGGTGGCCTTTTTACACATGTTTGACTGTATTATGTGTTCAGTTATATACATGCATTTTCTTTACAGTCTGTAATTGACCCTATTTAAGATTACAGTACAAAAAATATGTGTCATATTTCTGTATTATTCTTTTATTCAATTTCCAAATATCTGATTTTCTGTATTGTTATGTTAAGTTTTTGCTTAAATATCTCAAACTATTTTATTCATTATGTTTACACATTAATGTAAAGCTTTTCTTATGTTGCTCTATTACACATGAAAATATGATTCATTAATTAATTTATTAAGCCCATGCAATTTGTTACAGAAGTTATTGCATATTGTTATTTCTATTTTCAGATGCAGAAATACTTCTACCAGAACTTCAAGGAGTACAAAGGTTCATTTGTGGACACATTATTAGACAAGGAAGTTCAAAGGGCAATAACTCTTCATCCAATCAAGATGCCCACCTACCAGTACAGAATCAACAATCATTTCACATCCGTAAAAATCAAAGAAATGAAGCAAAAGGAGCTTGAACTTCATAGAGAGATAACTGAGATGAATCAAGTTCTAAATGCCAAGTATGACTTTGATAAATATGGTCTCAAGCCTTCGGTCACCACTTTTATACCACAGAAACCTAGCGATGTGATTGGATGGGAATTTATCAACTCTAAAGTAGTTACTTCCCACCTAAATGTCAACCCAAGAAAAGGTTTGACAGCTTACCGAAAGGAAACACTAAATGAAGTAGTTGCTCAAACAATGGAAATAATAAACAAGAATTCCAAACACCGGGGACGAACTATTGACTATAAGGATGTTTTATATGGTTATACTAATACAGATCCCCTAAATGGTGCAAATTATATTCTAGATATTTTGCTTACTTATAGAAAACACAAAGGAAAGAATTTGAATGTCCCTGTAAGGCGACATGCATACTTACACCAGACTTTCTTGAAAACAGAATTTATTGAAAGTCCATGGACTTCGGAACAAGATAATAAAGTGACTGCAGATTCTCCTCACATATTCCAGCAGCTGAGAGGGAGTGAGAAAAATTTGGAGAAAAATAAATTGAAAGAAACTGTACATTTGATTTTACCTTTGGCGGGTAAAGTTAAAGAATTTGACCGGTTTATGAAAATATTTGAAGAAATCTGTTTAGCTAAGAAAGATAATGCTCAAATGCATATTGTATTATTTACAGAGAATAGTTCAGCTAAAGAAGTTGAAGATATTTTAAATATTGTCGGCAAGTATCAAAGAAAATATGGCGGTCATCTCTTAGAGGTTATAGAGACGGAAGGTGATTTTGCTCGAGCAAAAGCTCTAGACCTTGGTGCAAAACAGTGTTCAGTTGATGATTTGATATTTTGTGTTGATGTAGATATAGTGTTGACTCAAGATGCCATAAATCGTATACGACTGAACACTATACAAGGTGTGCAAGTGTACTACCCTATAGTTTTTAGCCAATACGATCCAAGTGTTTTATGTGGTAACCAATCAAATTGTAAGATAGAAATGTTCGACTTCGACCATCGAATGGGTTATTGGCGACAATTTGGATTCGGGATAGCTGCAATGTATAGGAGTGACCTTGAGCGCGTAGGGGGCTATGACACAGGCATACAAGGGTGGGGAAAGGAAGATGTTGACTTGTTTGACAAGGTTGTTCAAAGCAATCTTACAATATTCCGTGCAGTAGACACTGGTATGATACATGCATTCCATCCGATAAAATGTGATGTTAACTTAGAACCTTCGCAATTCCAAATGTGTATAGGGTCCAAAGCTACATGTCTCGCGTCGCAAAATCAACTTGCGCAAATGACTCTAAAAATAGACAAGATACTCAACAGAAATTTAGATGTAAAAGTCTGACCATAGTTTTATTTCTAGAACATTGTTATTATTTTCTCTTTTTTGTTGTTGTAATTTTAAAGGGATTTTTTTGTTGCTTAAAAAGGGTCATTATAATCATTCATTGTTTAAATAAAGAATTGTGTGATGGTCATATCAGATTGAAATCTATTTTGTTATATTTATACATCACTGTCGAGCATAGCTTTTGTTTCACTTTAAATGAAAAACTTTTTCAAAATGTTATTTTGAATGGACATTTTTTTATATTACGTGTAAAAGTCTTAAATGTTTAATTCAATTTGAACAATTTTATTTATCTGAAATAGATAGTGAATAGTTTGCTATGCATTGCTTTGAAATTGAATTGATTTGAAAGTATGGTTTTCAATAATTTTGTTATAGTATGCGTGGTTTGTGTGATTTTTTTAATTGTTTAAACTTTTTTGTTTGTTTTGTTTTAAAGAATAGGAATATATTGCCATGGAATTAAATGTTTCAATGTATTAGGTACCAACCAGAGTGCTATCTCTTCATACATTGCTAGTTATTTTTGTGTTTATACGGATATAAAATGTTGTAAACATTGTTGCTTAGGCCATTAGTCATGGTGTTTAAAAAAACCATAATTCCTCACCTTAGTGCAGTAATGGGATATAACCTTCTAGATTTAATAAGAGTTAACCAGTTATTGCACTTAGGTGACAAATTATATTAATAGAACTAGTATGACAAAGTAACTTGTCTATTTTTAAAATATTTGTCACAATTTATCATGTAACGTAAATCAAAATTGTGTAAAAAATCATGCATTTATTGACACTAACCCTTATGTTACCATTCAGTTGTTCTGCACCAAATAACATAAGAGCATCCTGAATTTTACCCTCTAAATTTAATTGAAATTTTATAAGGTATCAAAGTTATATTTAAATGCATGACTTTTTCAAAATTTCTTTAGAAACTTGACATGGTGAGAAAGACATTTAAAAAACTATCATTTTGTTGAGGTACCTGGTGGCTTTGTACATGTTGAAGGTGATTTTACCATTGACTTTACTCATGGTGACTGTTTATATGAGTTGATTACTCATCCAAGGTGACTGTTTATATAAGTTGACTGTTTATCCAAGGTGACTGTTTATATGAGTTGATTGCTCATCCAAGGTGACTGTTACTGTTTGTATAAAATGATTGTTTATTTGAGGTTACTGATAACATTATGGTGACTGCTCACTCAAGGTGACTGTTCTGAAGTGGACAAAAAGTAACTTACAAATTGCAAATAGCCCTTACAATCCATGTTAATAAAAACCAAAAAAAGGTCAAAATAATGCACATTATTACTTGAACCTTGAATCTTTATACTTTTCTTAAAATATTAGTACATTAATTTTAATGTTTATACTTTTCTTAAAGTCTTAGTACATTTTTTTCAAGTTTGATTTTCTTGAAATATTTTTGCTCATCAGGAGGCATGCAGCTTTAATATGATAAATTAGAAATGAATAAGTATTATTTTTTTAGAAAGGTCAAACATGATTTTTATAATGTTTAAATAATAGTTTTAGAGCATGTTAGGTGCTGGTACCTAAAGAAATTAGCACTAAATGTAAAATAATTTGTCATAAAAGAAGCAAAATGTCAACATAGAATTATTTTGACTTCCAAACAAAATACTAAGTCACTATGTACTAAAATTTGCCAAAAAGCAACAGAAAAAGAGGGTCTTTAATGCAAGCCATTATTGCCTTCAGCACTCAGATATCTACTACATAGTATTATTTATATTGCTGAAGTATTTTATTTTTAGGGCATTTTCTACAATCCATGGGAACTATTACTTCACTTCATATCACTATGAATAGGTGGGCCTTGGTTTCTTTGTAATTTAAATAGCGTATGTTTTAGTTTATTGGGTAGCATGACTTCATTATGAGGACAGGGGCATAAATATAATTCTGTCTCAATTGTAATTACTTAAACATGATGATTAGTAAGCATTATATTAAAACTGTAATTATAATAAAAGGTTGGCATAATTTATACCTTACCACATTCTCTAAGGGCTGTTTTGGTTAACCGAGAGATTAAAAGAAATTTCAAAAGTCGGTTAGAAATCTGCAGAGACATAATGATTTTAAGTGTATAAGTTAACATATAAAAGATATATTTAGCTTCAAGAACTGTTTTTATGTATTAAAAAAATTAATCCCAGTGGCAAGAATGAACAAATTACAAAATTAACATTAAAACCATGTGTTATTGTAATCAGAGCTATCACGAAACTTGTTTGTTATGAATTAATTACAACATTTACTTATGATATGGCACAGATTTAAAAAAAAAGAATGAGATTTGGAAAATTAACTTTATAAACAGTTTTGAAGAATATTTCCCACAGTGCTTCATAAATTAAAACTTTAAAATTTCTTCCCACAGTTTGTTTAATTCGAACCAGTATATGGGTTGGACCAGTGCTTCACTTCTTTATAATCGTAATTTATGAATTAATGGCCCTTCCACTATGTTTTACTTTCAACATTTAAATTATAACTGTGCTTTCTACAATTTTTGTTAATATTATTTTGATTTTATTTTGAAATCTGGGTAGACAAATTTTAACTACTGGTATTACTTAAACAAATTATATCTCAGTCATCATGCACATTACGCATGTCAGGTTGACCTTTTCTTTATTTGTTCACTGTATTTCGTTAATTTTTGAAAAACTTTTTACAAGTCTTTCCCAAACATTTTGAAAGGACATTACGTATTCTTTTCAACTTTTATTACACATACGTACTTACAAAGTTATGTTCCGATTTTATCATATTCCTCCACCCATTTTAATCACTGAGGTGTATCTTCATTAAATTCAACGTACCAGTACCTCTTATGTTACGACAGTGTATTCTAAGCATTGATAAATATTGCCCTTTTTAAGTCTAGAATGCCTATTAGTTAATTATTTTTTCCCTTTAGTATTTAAATGAAGGTTTTGAATACTTGATGAACATATAAAGAAGCCATTAAAAACTATGATGAATTGACTTGGCTAATGATTTTTTTTCCGATTGAAAGAACATAGTGTATAATACTTAAAAAATTATGACATTCAATATTAAGTATAATTTCTTAAGTTCTATTTTGACCTGGCTTAAGGTATTTATTTTGTAACCTAGCAATTATGTATTAACATGATTTAATGTCTCAAACGGACTTTCTTTTTTTATTAAATACTAAATGTTTTTTTTATGGAAATTGGCATAGGAAAAAAATATCATACAATCTCATAACATGTAAGATATGTATTCTTTGCTTAGCTGAGCTGAGCTTTTTTGACAGAATCATCTCTACCATGCATTAATATCCATAATATCTTAATAAATAACATCTCCTTTTTCCACACTGTAGATTTTGATCAAACTTCACAGGTATGATCTATTATAGTTGGCCCTGTACAAAAGTTGTATAATTGGTTCAAGAACAGTGCATAAGTAGATGAAATGAGCTGAAATAGATTTAGAAAATGAAAAAAATCTACCCCTTGTAAATTCATTAGGTTACAATGAGGTCTAATTTTAGAATGTTCTATATAATACAAGAATATGATTCTTATTCTTATATAGACTTTTCCAGATTTAGACTTAATTGTCACCTAATGGTATTTATCAATTTTGTAGATTTTATTATCGTTGTAGTTTTCATTATTTAAATGTCTTGAAAATATGTCCTGTTAGGAAACCTTTAAAGGCATTTATTGAGAAATGTTTTTTTTCCGCTTTTTGTGGTTCTTTTTTTCACATCAAAAGTTATTTTAGGTAATACATATCCAGGTAGAATTTAGAATTAATTAGCAATCAAATCAAACTCTAATATTTTTTTGTATAGTTGAATAAAATTTTGATACTTTGATCATTTTAATTTTAACTGTTCAATATTGGTTAAAATTATAGATAACCGTTAGAAATGACACACCTGGCCATATGATGAAGGTAGATAGCACTTTGGTATGGTATTTCAGCATAGTTGTATTTTTGCCCTACACTTACAGAATGATATTGTTAAAACAGATGTCGAAGTTTTTCCAAACTTTTGTGATTTTATCTAAAACATTACAAGTTTCAGGTCTCAAAATTTCCATGTTAAGTTAACAGGTAGTATACTTTTATTGTTTCCACAACTTGTTGTGCTTAATAGAATTTCTTTAGCTAGTGCAAGTTGTTTTGTTTCTTACGAATGTTTAAGTCTAAAATGCACGGCTATGAAAGTATTTCAAGAAAAGCATGGCTGATGCAGTTTCATTTTATTGCTTTAACATTTGCCATAAACTTCTTTTGTTTCATTTTAAAGATAGTATCGTATGTGCAGTTATGCTATTATGTCCCTGGTTTGTTTCATTTTTATTCTCGTTTTATTAGGAAATCAAAGTAATTTTGTGATATCTTTGTTGTCATTTTTATTGTATAATAATTGTAAACAGCCTTTGAAATGTGTTTTTATGCAATGTTTTGTGCTAAGGTTTGTTGGTATGCCAGTCATACAGTCATCTCTTCCCCTCCTGTAATTTGTACGATGAACTTGTCTTGTGAATTTACAACTGTTCATTGTTTGTTTTAAAGCTATGAAGCTATATATCTGCTGCAAAAATTATTGTTTGAATTTTAAGAAAAGAATACTTCCAAGGAAGAAATATAGTATAATACTTCCAAGAAAGAAATATAGTCTATTGATAGTATAATGTCTTATAAGCAAATGGCGCATGCATAAAATCATTGGTTAAAACTGTATTTAAAATAGCAGAATAATAATTTTGTTCCAGAAATTTTTTATTCTGTTGATGTATGATATTCATGTGTTTCAAAAAGCGGATAGATTTTATGTTACTGCTCTTTTGGGGAATAAACCATAAGGTTATGGAAACAACAAAATTTTACTGTTGATAAATTTTATAACAGTATTTCATTTCATAAGATGTGGCTTTATACCCTTTAAGGGTTTTGAAGATACGCGACAAGATTACGAAAGATATCCAACTAACCATTTTCCACTATGGTAGCATGCAATAGGGGAAAAACAAACACAGGTCTGTACGACTAAATTAAAAACAAAATGTCATATCTTATTGTAATAAAACAAAGGTATTATTTAAAATTAATCTAAAACTTCTTTGGCTATTGTACAAAATACTAACCTCGGTTATCGTTTATTACATTTTTAATTTTGGCTAAAAATTCAATGAAACCCTTTTAAACAGTTAAACGCTGCACTCCTAGTTAAATCACATTACAAGTGTGTGAAGGCTGGCCTTGTTCTATACATGTACTGGTCTCATAGGCAAGTTATCTTTACTGCCAGCAATGCAAGATTTGATGCAAAATTTATATGTTTTTGTGTCTGTAATTTCATTTTCCACTTTAATGGTTGTTACTTTATTATCAAAAAACATGTGTGATTGTAAGATACTATTTCAATGAAATGAATTCCAAAATCTATTTTTTTTTTGTTTTGACAAGTTCTAAGCCAAGACTAGCCTATTGAAATGCCTAGAAAAAAAATGTAATTATCTGGTTCTCCCCATATGTATGCTCATTATTAATGCAGAACACATAAAACAGTAAATTATTTTACCTACTTTACATGTGTTATAAAAAAATTAGTTATGTAATATGAAGACTAATTTAATGGAAGATATTGTCAGTTTGTATGTATCTAAAAAGATTAATGTGAGGATATCTAATTATTTGAACAATGTTTTTAAAATTT